TGTGTGTGTGTGTGTGTGTGTGTGTGTGTGTGTGTGTGTGTGTGTGCGTGTGTGTTAGTTAGAGAAAATTATTTGCTCACATTTTCTTCCTCCTCATCTCTTAATGTTTTTCTCTTTTCTTTTATCCACAAACTGCACGAAGCAGCAAAAAGGAAATCCGACGTTCCGCAGCATTTTTTTTCCGTTACAAGAACAGGAAGTAGGAAAAAAATAAAAGCACATCTGGGACCGCCGTCCATCATCTGAGAGTCCTTCAAGTACCGTAAAGCCTAGAAAGGAAGCTCCTCATTTTGTTTTATCACCCGTCCTGGCTCCAGATCCAGAAACTCCATAAAAAATTAAATAGATAAAACATTCTGTTTAAATCCACCGACCGGTCCGGGTCCAGTTCAGACTTTTATTTGGGTCTGGATCCAGAGCACCAGTCCCCGTTAGAGAACGRTTAACCTTAGAGCTAAAAGAAGCTGCGCCTTTTCAATTTAATTACCGTAAATGTGAGAAAAATGTAAAATAAAAAAACATAAAAGCTATATAGTCTGTTTATATCATCAACTCATCCAGGTCCAGGTCTGTCTGGGTCTGGATCTGGACCAGGGTCTGCCATCTGAGAACCGTCTGTCTCTTTTAAACCTTTTAAAACCCAAACATTTATGGCTGCGTTGAAACATTTTATAATCATTTCTGATTTTAAACATCTTATCTCATCGTGTCGAGTGGTTTTGGATTATCACACACTCCGGACCCGATCCAGGTTCCAGTTTGGACCAGCTGAAGACCTAAAACCAACCCCTGGTCTCCATCTCCATGACGGGGATGAGGACATCAGAATGAATTAAAGCCGATCCTCTCGCTCCTTACGGGATCGACTCTCGGATTCACTTAACTGAAATCTGTCTGTGGAAATTTGATTGACAGCAACAAAAATCCTCCTTCGACGCCGTCCAATCACAGAGGAGGAGGCAGAGCCTTTAGTCGGAACGGAGGAATATCAAAGACATCAGGTCGAACTCCACTGGAGAGTGTTGGACTGAGAGACACTAAACAGCTGCAGACACTCTCTGTGTGTCCCTGTGATGGACTGGACCTGTCCAGGTGTGTCTGTAAAGGACTGGACTTGTCCAGGTGTCCCTGTGATAGACTAGACCTGTCCAGGTGTCCCTGTGATGGACTGGACTTGTCCAGGTGTCCCTGTGCTGGACTGGACCTGTCCAGGTGTCTCTGTGATAGACTAGACCTGTCCAGGTGTGTCTGTGATGGATTGGACCTGTCCAGATGTCTCTGTGATGGACTGGACCTGTCCATGTGTCTCTGTGATGGACTGGACCTGTCCAGGTGTGTCTGTGATGGACTAGACCTGTCCAGGTGTGTCTGTAATGGACTCGACTTGTCCATGTGTGACTGTAATGGACTGGAATTGTCCAGGTGTCTCTGTGATGGACTAGACCTGTCCAGGTGTCTCTGTGATGGACTGGACCTGTCCAGGTGTGTCTGTAATGGACTAGACCTGTCCAGGTGTGTCTGTAATGGACTCGACTTGTCCATGTGTGACTGTAATGGACTGGAATTGTCCAGGTGTCTCTGTGATGGACTAGACCTGTCCAGGTGTGTCTGTAATGGACTAGACCTGTCCAGGTGTGTCTGTAATGGACTCGACTTGTCCATGTGTGACTGTA